AGGTTTTTCTTTTTTCTTTTGGTCATTGTTTTTTTGTTGTTGTTGTTTTGTTTTGCTGCTTTGTTTTACTCTGTCTCGTTTTTGTGCATATTATTATCTCTGCAGGTATATCTAGATAAGATAGGCTGGATAAACAATCTGGAGGAGAAAACAATGGGACTGACGATTCTGGTGGGGACATAGGAGAGAGAGAGGTGAGGGAAAGGAAGTGATGTTAACAAACCCAGGGACAAGGGAACAACAAGTGATCCAAAATCAGTGGTGAGGAGGGTGTAAGAGGACTGGTAGGGCTTGATAAAGGGTAATGTAACTGAGAGGAAATGCTGAAACCCGAATGAAGGCTGAGCAAAATAGTGGGGCAAAAGGAAAGTAAAAGGAAATAGAGGAAAGAACTAGTAGGCAAAGGGCATTTATAGAGGTTTAAATATAGGCATGTACATATGTAAATATATTTATATATGAGGATGGGGAAATAGATCTATGTGCATATATTTATAGGTTTAGTATTAAGGTAGCAGATGGACATTGGGCCACCACTCAAGTACTCCCTCAATGCAAGAACATTTTGTTCTATTAAACTGGCATTCCATGATGCCCACCTTCCCAACACAATCACTGAAGATAAAGCGGGTGCATAAGCAAATGTAGTGAAGAAAGCTGATGGTGCCTGGCTATCAAAAGATGTAGCATCTGGAGTCTTAAAGGCTTGAAGGTAAACAAGCAGCCATTTAGCTGAGAAGCAACAAAGCCCACATGGAAGAAGCACACCAGCCTGTGTGATCATGAGGTGTCGAAGGCATCAGGTATCCGGCATCAAAGAACAAAAATTCATATCATTGGGAATGAGGGGGAGTGCAGAGTGGGGACCCAAAGCCCATCCCCTTACAGAAGGGTCGCGGGGAGGTGAGCCAGTCAGGGTGCAGTGTAGCAACTACGAAACATAAACTTTCCTCTAGTTCCTAAATGCCTTCTTACCCCTAATATCATGATCCCAATTCTACCTTACAAATCCGACTAGACCAGAGGATGTACACTGGTACAAATAGGAACTGGAAACACAAGAAATCCAGGACAGATGATCCCTTCAGGGCCAGTGGTGAGGGTGGATGGAAGATGGGGTGGAAAGGGGCAAACGATTACAAGGATCTAGATATAACCCCCTCCCTGGGGGACAGACAACAGAAAAGTGGGTGAATGGAGACTTCGAACAGTGTAAGACATGACAAAATAATAATAGTTTATAAATTATCAAGGGTTCATGGGGGGGCGGGGGCAGGGAAGGGAGGGGAAAGATGAGGAGCTGATACCAGGGGCTCAAGTAGAAAGGAAATGTTTTGAGAATGATGATGGCAACAAATGTACAATTATGCTTGACCCAGTGGATGTATGTATGGATTGTGATAAGAGTTGTATGAGCCCCCAAGTCAATGATTTAAAGAAAAAAAAAATAGAAATGTGCTGACAAGCTTGGCTTATACACGAGTGTATACGGTATATTGGCGTCTTGCTCGAACACAGCAAGTACTCGCTATGTTCCTGCTTCCTCCTTTTGACATGTTCCTAGACCTGCAGGCATGGCTTTGCCTTGGCAAATGAGTGCTATTGATTTTTTTGGTCTTGTTATGTGAATTATATTCCAGTAGCACTGCTAAAAAATAAATTTTTGTCTTGTGTCTAACCCTCATTTCTTCTTGAAACAATGATCAGTTACTTAAGTTATAACCTGTATAAGTAACCATCCCATGTATTTTAGTTTACAAAGCTCTCCTATGTATGCATACTTTCTTTTTTGCAATAGTGCTTTAAAATCCATATCATTGGCTAGATTAATGGTACTATTATTAGAATTACCCAATGTTTCATGGAGGTTCTCAACAAGCTGATAATGCTGCCTCTAAATTGTACCAGGGATATTTATAAACTTGAGTTATACAAATGGCTTTTGAACTCACACTTAATTGTAAACCCTAATCTAGAACAGTTAGTTCTTGATGTGGTGGCCCTGCTCAAAACTTGTCCTCACAAAGTGTTCATTGAAGACATGGGTGGTATAGCAAAATGTGTTGAAGAACCTGAGGTCTTAAAGGCTTATCTTAAAAAAAAAAAAGTAGCTAAGTGAGGGTCAGCTAAGACTACATGGAAAGGACACACCATGTGATCCAAGGACTATAAATAATTAAATCCAAGATCAACGAAAGGCATTGCATTAGAATTTAAACTCTGAACACCCCGCTTGCAGATTGTTAAGGATGATAGTGAAAACCCCAAATGCATTTGCTGAGGCTCATGTAGATTAAGCCTCATTGAAGTCTCTCAGACCACTGATCAGGGATATGAGTACTCTTGCCCTCAGACAGAGCACATTGGAAAGTGGATTAATGCAGATACAGTTAAGTTAAAATGTAAAATATTACTCTTTTCCTTCCCCTTTGATTTATTATTATTTTTTAATTATTTTCTGTTTTCTTTTGAATTAATGTTTTCCTGTGTCTTGTTTAGTTTTTTTTTTTTTTAGGTATGATCTTATTTGTATGAAATCAAAGGTAGGCAAATCTACGGCGACAGTGATGAAATGGATAGTTTCTTTGGGTGATGGCAGGGAAGGTTGGAGGGTATGGAGAGATAATAATAAAGGCTTCAAAAATGAAGAAAATGTTCTAAAATTGATTGGGGTGATGACTGTACAACTCCTTTAAATATATTTAAAACGTTGAATTGTATAATATTTGAATTATTTGCCAATAAAACTGTTAAAGAATAAAGCAAATTAGATAGCAAGAAAAATGTGTATAGCTCTAGAAGGAGAAATGTTGTGAGAAACAATAATTTCATATCTTGATATTCTTGTCTAGTAAAGGTTTATATAATTCCGTAGCAATATTTTTTATTCATCTTTGCAAACTAATAGAAAAAAACCATTGTATAAAACCTGAGGGCACATGGAAGGGCCACAAGGAATGGATGACTCAACCAGGGTGAAGTAGGGTGAAGTATCACACCAATGAAACACACAATATTCCCCTGGTTCCTTGAGTCTTCCTCACCCCCCCACTATCATGACCCCAATCTTGCTTTTCACTGCAGGCTAGGCCAGAGCATGTACACAGGTACAGATAAGAGTTCAGGACACAAAGAATCCAGGTCAGATAAACCCTCAGGAACAGAAACAAGAGTACCAAAGGTGGGAGTAGGGGAAAGGTGGCGAGGAGAGCGGGGAAGAAATATCGGGGGAAGGGAGACTTCAGTTGGTGTAAGCTATGGAGTTAATAATAATCTATAATTTATTAAGGGGTCATAAGGGTGTGTGGGGGGGGTGGGGAGAGGGAAGGTAAAAAGAGGAGCTGATACCAAGGGCTCAAATAGAAAGTAAATGTTTAGAAAATAATGATGGCAACATATGTACAAATATGCTTGATACAATTGATGTATGGATTGTTATAAGTGCTGTAAGAGTCCCCAATAAAATGATCTTAAAAAAACAACAACACCCTGAGGGGAGGGGTGTAGCTTGTGGCATCTCAGCACATCAGAGTGGTGGGAGCGCACTGCCTTCACATCTTCCTGCCTTAGGTGCCTGGGTTAGCCTCAGCAGTGGACCTCTGTCCTCAATCTGGTGACCCTCTTAGAACCCCTGACAAGTTTCTTCTCATCTTAAGCAAACAAATCCATTGTCGCCAAGGTGATTCTGACTCAAACAACCCCGTGTGCTGCAGAGTAGAAAGGCCCCAGAGGGCTTTCTTGGTTAAAATCAGAATGGATAGGCCATCTGCTCCAGTCAGGATCTGTAGTTCTGGAAACCGATATAACAGCAGTGCTCAACCTGTGGGTTGCGACCCTTGTGGGGGGTCGAACGACCCTTTCACAGGGGTCGCCCGATTCATAACAGCAGCAAAATGACAATGATGAAGTAGCAACGAAAATGATTTTATGGTTGGGGGGTCACCGCAACATGAGGAACTGTATGAAAGGGTCGCGGTGTTAGGAAGGTTGAGAACCACTGCCATATAAGGTCACTATTGGTCAGAACTGACTCGAGGGCAGGGAGAATAGGTCCTTTTTATGTAGTAGAACCCCAGCCTTTCTTTTGTGGTACTGTTGGGTGGGTTTGAACCACCATCCTTCGGATCAGTAGACAAGCACACACTGTACCATCTAGGGCTCTTCTCTCTTCTTACAGCCAATGCATAAGGTTCCTGTGTATTCTTGGGAGACACACCATAGGATTTCCTGACGAAATGCTTTCCTTGCTGTCTCATCTCAGTTCTTGATGCAGTCTAGCTATGTTCCCCTTTGTGCTGCTATGTTAGAAACAGAGAGCAACTGCCTTACCACTAGCTCCCTCAGACATTTCTGCTGGAGGCTGAGAGAGGAACAAATACACCACCACATCAGGTGGATCTCAGACATGGATGAAAACTTGGCAGAAGGGAACAAGCAAGCTCTTCTATGGCCTCTGGGTGGGCCCGTTGGTTGGATGCCAAATACTTAGGTATCATCTTTCATGAGAGGCATAGACCCCTGACCACTGGCTATCACATTGCTCAGGACTCCAGAATTGTCTATATGATGCTAGGTGTACTTCTCCAAAGGCCTCACTCTGTTACATTCTACCTTATCCTAATAATTCATGCTTTGATTGTGAGCCTGTGGTATGAGATGCTTTTTGGTGTCATCAAGTAAATTCTGCCCATGGGGTTCCATGTGACTCTGAGTAGGATTGTCCAGGCTGTCCAAAGCAGATCAACAAGTTTTTCTCCCATGGAACCACTAAGAGGGCTTGAACAACCAACCTTTTGGCTAGTAGTCAAATACTAAACTTTTGTATCCCCAGGGCTCCTTGGGTGTGGATAAGAGGTAAGATGTAGATTAGCGTTGTTTTCATTCCAATACTTTTTCCAGGTAGACGTTCCTATTTCTTTGAGGTGTTGCATAGTTTCTATTAGACTGAGGTTGAAGGTGGGTGGGGGGAGCAGTCAGGCAGCCGACATCCCTGAATCCCTTTAGGATGAGGGGACATGCCTCTTCATCATGTGCAGCAGGGCCCCTGTCACCTCTTTGTTCCGAAGGGTGTAGATGATGGGGTTGAGCATGGGAGTGATGACTGTGTAGAAGAGGCTGAGGATTCGGTCCACGGTCACCGAGGAGCCTGCCCGAGGCCGGATGTAGGTGACGCTGGCTGTTCCAAAGAAGAGGGTGACCACCAGCAGGTGAGAGGAACAGGTAGAGAAGACCTTGCGGCGACTCTGGGTAGAGGCCATTGCCAAGATGGCATTCAGGATGCGGGCGTACGAGGTGACAATCAGAGAGAAGGGGGTCATGATGAAGACCACAGTGGCGGTCATCACCGCGACCTCACTCCTGTGCCTCCCCGCACTGGCTAGCCTTAGAACCGGCAGGATGTCGCAGAGGAAGTGCGGGATGAGGGGCTGGCTGGGGAAAGGCAGAGTGAAGATGAGGGAGGAGTGGGTGGTGGCTGTGATGATGCCCATGAGCCAAGAGGAGGCGACCATGGCCGTGCAGGTCTGCTGGCTCATGAGGGTGGAGTAATGCAGGGGTCTGCAGATGGCGGCATAGCGGTCGTAGGCCATGGCTGTGAGCAGGCAGCACTCTGAGATGCCCAAGACAATGAAAACGTACATTTGGGCTGCACAGCTCTGAAAGGAGATTCCCCTGGGATGCAAGGAGGTGAGGTCAGCCAGGGTCCTGGGCACGATGTCGGTGGTGTAGAGGATTTCGACCACGGAGAGGTGGCGCAGGAAAAAGTACATGGGGGAGTGCAGAGCAGGGCTGGCCTGAGTGAGGAGGATGATCACGGAGTTGCCCAGCAAGGTGACCAGGTAAATCAGAAGCACCACCCAGAATAGAGGGCCCTGCAGTACCCGGAGGTCAGAAAATCCCAGAAGGAGAAATTCAGGCAGTGAGGTAGTCTGGTTTGTCTTATCCATCACTTCCGGACAGAACTTGTGGCTGAGGAGAGAGAGAGAGAGAGAGAGAGAGAGAGAGAGAGAGAGGAGTTTGTATAGAAACAACTGGCATCTCGGTAATGTAGTAACATGCTTTTCCTCAGGTTCCTCTCAGCGCTAAGGGAGAGAGATCATATCTCAATTAGTGGCCAAGGCCAGGGGCTCTCAGAGGGATTACATGATTTTCCTGGGACACTATTATTATTTTCCTCATGTATTGTTTTATTATTTTAAATTTTTGTTCCATTTTGGGGGAGCTCTTACAGATATTATAACAATCCATAGTTCAATTCGATCACGTATAATTGTACAATTGCTGCCACCATCATTTTCAAAACTCTTTCTTTTTGAACTTTTTCATATCAGCTCCCCTTTATACCCTGTTCGCCCACTCTACCCACCCCCAGGACTATTATATTATATATTATTATTTGCCATGCCTTACACCTTCCAATGTAGCCCTTTACCTACAATTCTGTATTCATTCCCCTTGATTGAGGTTATAAAGTCATCATTGCTATTGGTCCCCCCCACCCCACTCTTCCTGTGCCCTCAGGGAATCATTACTCCCATTTCTATTTCTGAAGGGTTTATCTACCTTGGATTTCATGCATTGAGCAAACTTAATTATACAAATGAACATGCACAGGTCTCACAAGATTAAAGAGGTGAAACTAAGACCATAAGAGTAAGGGAAGGAAATATTAAAGAGCTAGAAGGAGGATAGTTATATGTTTCATCAGTGCTATACTGCACCCTGTATATATCATCTCTTCTGTGTGGCCCTTCTGTGAGGGACTGTCCAATTATATTACAGGTGGACTTTGGGTCTCCCCTTTGATTACACTCTTTCATGTCAATTTGATTACTTGTTTTTGAATTTTTGATACCTATCCTCACCAACACCTCATGATTACTCAGGCTGGTGTGCTTCTTTCATGTGGGCTTTATGGCTTCCCTGCTAGATGGCCACTTGTTTAACTTCAAGCCTTTAAGACCCCAGACGCTATATCATCTCATAGTTGGGCACCATCAGCCTTCTTCAGCACATTTGCTTATGCATCCATTTTGCCTTCAGCGATCGTGTTGGGAAGGTGGGTATCACAGAATGCCAGGTTATTAGAACAAACCATTCTTGAACTGAGGTAAGATTTAAGCAGAGGCCCAAAGTCCATCTGCTTCCTTATTGTGTGTGTGTATATATGTATATACACACACATACATACATATGCACACTATATATAATATATGTGTATATATACAAAACATCTATCTTCATATATTTTTCATATATACATATCTATATTTATACCTACGTATATCGATTTTACTTTCTTATTTTTTTCTCTTTTTCTTTCCTCCTGCCCCATTATCATGTTTATCTATTATTCACCTCTCAGTAATTCCTTTCAGCTACATTTCAAGTGATCAAACACAAATGCTACACCTTTCTCACTGTGAACTTTAGATTCCTTGTTGTTCCTGTGTCCCGTCATTATTTGCTCATCCCTCCTCTCCCTCCCACTTCTTCCTTTCCCATGGCCACCCCTACACCCCAACGATCTGTCAATTCTGTTGCTGTCTCCTTGGCATTGCTTATCTTGCCAATCTTAAATAGATAAACACCAAGGAAGATCATACAAATAGTTCCAAGTCTGTCGTCCTGACCCAGAATAGATGAGGATCCCTCTGTTAAACAGTGAGCAGGCCTTGTTATAATCCATCGGTCCAACCCTCTTTTCTTTCAGGGATCCGTATCCCAGGACTAACTTACCTAACAGTGCTTATACCCTTTTAGTCCTCAGTGTTCGTGTCCAAGCGACGTGCCTTCTATAAGACCCCTTTGATCTTCCTGCAGTCAAGGTGGAGCTGTCTGGTGCCCCACTCCCCACTCCATTGCACCTTTAGACTTTCAGTGTGGCCTCCTTGTGAATATTCCCCAACCCATTCAGATGAGGTGCCTAGTGCTTCCCCTGGGGCAATATTTTGAGGACCACTGGTTGCACAGTAGTTAAGCACTCAGAAGTTAGCCGGAATGCTGGGGGTTTGATTCTATCAGCTGCTCTGAGGAGAAACCCCATGGAGGCAGTTCTACTTTGTCATGAGCTGGAATTGGTTCAGTGGCAATGGGTTTGGTTTTGTAAAAATTATTAAAAAACATATCTATGAAGTGGCATGCCTGAGAATTGAGTCCAGGTCTCTCAGTCACATGCATTTCCCCCTGTTCTTTGTAGTCTGGGTCCAGGGTTTGAAGTTCATGTGCAGAGAACCCAGCTCTGTAATTTGAACCTTTCTTCAGAATAGGGGTTGAAACAGTTGTGGTGACCTTGGTACCCCCTGGACTTAAGCCCCAGTCTGACAGAAACCAGGAGCAACTCCACTGTAGACTCAGTCAGGGGTTGTCCCAAACTGGTGCCTTATGACCCCTGTGGTAGGGTGTGCATGCAAAAGGTCATTCAATGCATGATTATTTATGATAATACTGTCCCACTGTACCATGGAGTAGATTCTGTAGACCTTTTTCATAGATTATTTGATTCTGCAATCTACACTGTGAGTGGGTTGGATAGGGAACATCTTTTGATCTCCTCTTCCTTGGGCCTCTGAGGTCAACTCACCACAACTCTGTTCCATCTCACCCTGTCTGCCTCTCAAGGCTCCATGCATTTCCACAAAAACGTCTCACCTGCAGGGATATTTCTCGTTATGCTATTAAAATTCCTCTCATCCTTCAAACTTCAGCTCAAATTTCACTTACTCCATGACAACTTTCTCTGATCCTCCTGGTCAGAAATCATTACCCATGATTGGCATCTGTAAGTTCGAAGTGACTTGTAGGGTGATACATTTCAATGTGACCATGCTCAGATTTCATCTACTGCATCTTAGAAGGGCGATGCACAGCATCTGTTTGAGCACATGCAGCCATGGGGAGATCCCCACCCATGGAGGTAGCCTGTTCTAGCTTTGGACCCATTCTCTCTGTTGGAAAAGTCTTCATTATATTGGTCAAGGTTAAATTATTAATATTTTTAGAACATATAACCCCTCTTGCACTAGACAGCACTTTAAGTATTTAAAGAAAGCATCATCTACAGACTTCGTAGTCTCATGAGACATTGCTTGAACGTTGGGCCTTGCACTTATTAGTCAAAAGTCACCACTGTAAGATCGGTAAGATCGTGGGCAGTGGGAGATCAGCTGTCCTAACAGCTGCTGATGTCTCCTGGCTATGTAGTCCTTGCTAGGCACTCTACTAAGGGCTTAACATTCATTAAATCAGTTAATCATCATAACCACACTATGACATACGGATTGTTATTTTCTCCATTTTACAGATGAGAAACAGGAAGTCCAGACATATATCTAGTAAGTGATGGAGCTTGGGCTCAAAGCCAGGCTTGTCCAAGCCCAGAGTCTGTGTGCTTAAACTGTCATGGCTGTTATTGTAGTGGCTATAACAACTAACACAAAATTTTTTCTATGTAATAGGGGTTCATTCATTCACCAATGTTTGCCATCAAACCAATTCTGACTCATAGTGAGCCTGCAGAGGGTTTATGAGGCTTGGTAATCTTTATGGGAGCAGACAACCTCGTCTTTCTCACGAGGGGTGGCTGGTAGCTTTGAACTGCTGACCTTGTCATTAGCAGTCCAACGCTTACTCAACAGTGCTACCAGAGTTAAACATTTATTAAATGAGTGAACGAATCCCATTATAAAAAGAGAGAGAGAGACTGATGAACAGAAAGATGAGTGGTTTGTCTAAAGTCAGACAGCTAGTTAGAGAAAGATTGGGATCTGCGCCCAAGCCTCTGGGAAGCCTGGCTCTTGGGATTTGCAGAGCTTTGACTCCTCACGTTTATCACATGTGAGATTAGCTCAGCCACTTGCATCTGTAAACAGGAGAGCCTCAAACTTTCCGCTTATTGCCCTTGGACCTCACCTTCATCCTGCCCTCGGCCTGAGCTCAAATCATATTCTTTGCCCAGCTGAATGCCTCACTAGCACTTAGAGATTGTTGTGTGCCAGGCATTGTGCATGATCTCAGTTGACCTTTATAGACACACCAGTAATACTTTTTTTTTCTCATTGTAGATGAAGAACCAGAGCTCAGAAAATTTATATTACTCACCCAAGATCATAGGTCCCTAGATAGCATAAAATGTTTGCTCTTGGCTACTAATTGAAAGATTGATGCTTTGAATCTACCCAGAGGCTACAGGAAAATGGTCTGGTAATTACTTCTGTAAAATACCTAAAGCCAAAATATAAGTTGCTATTGAGTCAATGGCATCCCTAGGGTGAGTGTCACATAATTCAGAGTATCTCTCTGTGGACAGGGAGGCCTCGCCTGTGCCTACTCGTGAGCAAGGCTGAGAACAACTCTGCAGGGCCCTGTCCCTCTCAGACTCATGCTCATTGACTCTCTGCAACTCCTTCCCGCTCCCATTGGCCAAGGAGGAGAGCCTCCTCTCCACCCAGGGATGAGTGCCGGAAGGTCACCGGCTTGTGACTGGCAGATGAAGGGGCATGGCGTGGTGGAGTGGTATGGTGGCAGTGATGAGTAACCACACTGGGGGACAGTGGGCATCAACTCTGCTTTGCCTTTCCCTCCTCTTGTTGCACTGTCCTGTCCCTTCCTACTGCCACTATGGATCCTGGGGCCATTTTGGTGTCACCCCTTCTGACAGTGTCAGGGAGTGTGGTGCACACTGGATGCCATGAGTCACTAGAGGGTTACTACAGTGACTCATGGTGACCTCATGTATGTATATCAGTAGAATTGTGTCCCATAGGGCTTTTAGGGTAGAGACCTTTTGGAAACACATCACTAGACCTTTCTTTTGAGGCCTTTCACCTCTAGATGGGTTTTGAAGCATCAACCTTTCAGTTAGTAGTCTAGCAATTAACCACTTGCATCATTCAGGGACTACTATGTAAGATTATGACCATTGAAAATCAGTAGTGGAGGAAGGCTT